ATGCACATTTAATAATTGTACTTTTGATATAAAGGAAATGTAACTTTATTGTACAATAAGATATTCTAAAATTAAATATCCACCTTTGCTTATGTGTTTACACAATATCCGGGAAAAAAGTACTCTTTTTTTCCAGAGAATAAAGTAATTTCATAAAAAGTGACATTATGTTTCCTGTCAACAAAGATAAAATGTCAAACTTTTTCCCGTCCCAGAAAAAAGTATATTATTTTTTATCAATTGACAATAAGCTCTCGCTGGCAGTATTATCTGCCCGAAATATGAGACTCTACACTGTGTAAAGAAATTCCTAGCAAACTTAGCAAAGTTATTGTATTTTGACAACAAATTTATGTCGGCCTTATGTGTGGAAATGCACTTTGACATATAATCTCGAAATCGACATGAATCTGCTGTCAAAAGTGGCGGTATTTATTTGTATTTAAAAAGTTGACAGATTACTCCTCAGGTATCCTAAAACCCCTCTCAAGACCTTTTTTCCAAAGAAATGCATGGTGGTCAAACGTTCGGAGTGGTCGTGTACTTTCCAGGTGTTACAGTAGGTCACGCTGGTTAAACAACTTATGACCGTTTGACTCCATATCTAATATAGAAATCACGATCATCACAACATGAATATGCTGTCAAAAATGGTGATTGCTACTTGGAGTTACAAACTTGACCTCCGAATGACTTCAGAGGTCATTGTGTAGCTCGTATTTAAGACTACCGGTAATCTGCTTCTTATATATCCTAACAACTTTCTTATAACACTTTTTTCTCTTAAAAATGCGACGTTCGTGTACTTTTTACACGTTACAGTAGGTCATACTGATTGAACCACTTATGCCCACTTAACCTCATGTACGAAAACGTAGTCTGAACTGGAATATAGCTCACTACGAATCTGCTGTCAAAAATAATAGGTGTTTGAATTTACAAGCCTGACCTGCAAATGAACTCTGAGGCCATTGTATAGGACATATTTGAGATTTTCGACTAATTGCATCTTTGATATCCTGAAACTTTTCTCAACACCGTTTTCGCAAGTTTTCAGGGTGTGTAATAGACATCCTATATACAGATATATAGATATACAGAAACTGAAAAGTATACTCATGAAACAAGGAACTTCAGTTATTTATCTAAATTCATAGGAACTTTCTCCAATTGAAGACTCACCATTCCTCTTCCACAAGAGCTGTACCGTAAAGTTGTTCACACCGGTTTGTACTTTTTTCGGGATCACTTAATCACTTCTGGAGGCTCCCTATCCATTATTTATATTCGACATTCGTTTAGCTAGTCCTATCTATATAAAATCAACCCACCATCAATCATTTGCAGATGAAGGTGTACGCATTAGGCATTCATTTTTTTCTAATCGTAAAGAAACTGTCAATTCGAGGGTCGCAAGACAGATAAGTAAGATGGACCGGTAATCTACGAATATAATCTTTTTTATGTATATGGTGAACGACCCCATGTTTATTTTTTGTCATATATACTCAGTGATATTAGAAGTGTTACACCCACACACAAAAATAATTTCTTCAACTTGATTGTTTGGCTACCCCATTAGTCTCACAACGAGAATTAAACGAATAACATTTTCACGAAATTTTATTGACAAGTAATGAGAGAAAAAACAATGTGTTGGGCGACCGCGCAGCTGAATACGCTCCTGTCCTCCAGCGTCTAGGCATCGGCAAAATGAGATGATCGATGTCTGGTCATGGCACCTCATTCCAAGCAATTCGAACTTCGTGGATTAGCTGTGGCAGAGTGAGTGACAGATGGTGCAAAGTGGATAGTCCCCTCCCCATTATATTCCACACATGTTCGATGGGATTTAAATCAGGTGAACGGGGTGGCCACGGCAAAACATTAACTCCTTATTCTTGAACATAGTCCGTAGTACAATGAGCAATATGGGGACGTGCGTTTTCTTGTGAGGAAGGAGGTGTGAACGGCCCTCTAGGTAGGGCAGTAAAACAAAGTTTATATGACCATCGCGCGCACCTAGACAGAATCACGATTTGTCGCTGAAAATGACACTTTGCCATTCTGCCTCCCAATGTTGCCGTTCTCTGCTCCAGTTCAAACGCTGACGACAGTGGTCCGCATTCAGAGGAAGCACTAACCGTTGACAGTACGAAAGAAGTCCAAAGGTTCGAATGCGGCGACAGAGTGTACGCATAGTAACAGGTCTACCTGCTTCTCCAAACCAGTGGTCAGCGATCTGACGCGTAGTAGCAAAACGGTCTCGTAGGGCTAGTTGTCTGAAGCGCCTACGCTCTGTGGTAAGCCTCGGTGAACCAGTTGGCCTTCTCCGTGTTCCTCTACCTTCTTCTATCCACACGTAACACACACGCTGATGGGATAGACCAATACCTCGATAGACAAATGGAACTACTCAACTCTTCACAAAAACTAAGAAATAACATTTTAACAAAGGTAAACAGAAAACAAAGGTAAGTTGTTTTGTTGCCAGAAAAACAAGTTGAAGAAATTATTTTTTCTGGGTGTAACACTTTCAATGTTACTGAGTATATCTATGGTACGGGAGTAGAATCAGTTTTTTAGAAAGAACCTACTTACGTTTGTGTCTTTAAACACGCAAGTTTCTCAATGCAAAAGTAAATGTTTTATTATATGAATGTGTGAAACTCTTTCTCGCAGGACAAAATGCGGCATTGTTAGACGTCGATGCATTATTCCTATTGTTTCTGGTTTGAAAATTTACACACGCATGTATCCAAGCACTCTACAATAGTCTAGGGAGATGATGGAATCAATCTACTGGACTATTCTTATGTTGCATTCTTTTGCATCTTATTGCGAAAGAGAACTAAAGTGCCCGAAATGACAAACAGTAAAAAAATTTAACATTTCGAGTACAAAATAAGACCACGTCTTGATTTTCACGAAGAATGAAATTGTAAGACCCCTCCACAACAAAAATACGACATTCGGAAGCTGTAAGTTCTGTTTTACATCCCATCCCATTTCTGGCATGGGATGTTAAACTTTTCTACCGCGAAAAATGATAAATCAGCAATTTCTCAGAGAATAACACGAACACCAGGTAGCGGATCTGGATAAGCGCTTTCATTGTGATACTGTGCTACTTTCATAACTTGGAAAAGGTAATAAAGCAGTAGTGCTACGCATACATAACTGCACATAATTCTCTGCATCACATCATCTGATTCGATGCATTTTTTCTTTTTACTTCCTAGGCCACTGGGTATTGAAATCGCAAAAAATTTCGAAAATGTAATACTCTGGTTTTTAGACGTCATATGACATCTACAGCAAGGAAATGATTGAAATTTTCATACAATTTCACTACTACGCCAAGGACAAAACAACCTATTTCTATGTACCTATTAGCCATATATTCAAATCATAGATCTCCTCATTCACTTTCTTTCAAAACTTAGGAATGTTTTCAACCCACGTACTCGTGCTATCTAAGCTCACCGTCCAGCGCACCGGTCATGCTGACTAATCTATACGTACTGCAATGAACAAAATAAATTTTAATAGACTCGTATAGCTGGTTTTCTGAAACATCGCTTAGGCAACCAGAGTTGCGTGACCGTGTGTGGGCGATTGTGGCCTCATGGAGGAACATCAATTCATGTTCAAGAGCGTTCTGCCGACATCGACGAAGGCGCTGGAAAGGTTTTCTTTTGGTCTGTTTCAAAATATTAATGTCCGACGTCAGTGGAACGAACATCCAACGGGTAGCGATCGACGCGGACTGTGGTCCAGTCGAAATAGTTATAAATTTGTCATAAACTGGTGGCAAGTGAGTGTATATTAAACTTTGCAAAGTACAAACGGTGTTTTCGTTCCAATATACGTGGGATGAATGATTACTCACTGTAGCGGCGCTACGGAGGGCGCTGCCGCGCAGATGTGAGAAGGGACAACGTTGATAGATGGATAGTAACTACCAGGCAGGCGAAGAATATCTATAAACTAATTGTATGGGCCTGTTTGATCGACTTTATCCGTTTAGCTGAGCTGTTGAACATGTTCTTAACTGGCTTTTTTCTCAGAGGATTTTAACTGCGCTGAACTTAATCCTTTATGAACTGATGACGGCGTGGCGTGCAAGGTCAACCTACTTGACGCCATTTTTTCTCAATGCATACGTTGCATTCTTGTATCCTGTGACTTTTCTTCTGCTATATATTAAAAAATAAAAAAAAGAGACAGAAAATTTGTTCATATAACAAATTTCAATTTGTTCTCTCGAATAGTTCGTTTACACGAATTCTTGCGGCGGAATTTCAAGATGGTCACACATCCCTTGGAGATGGCCCATGTGAAAGCCTTCCATTAACCGCAATCACAACTGAAACAATTTAAAAGGTCCAGAATATCGTGAAGCTGAATGCAATAACTGAGCCCGGCGGGTACCGGAAGAAATGATGTAAAACAACTTTGCTGAATGCCGCTCAACAGCGAATGCAAATAATACTCGCAGCTGTTTTGGAGTAATTCAATAAAGATCCGAACAATTTTGTGCGGCGGTTCCTAACCGTGAATGACAGATCGGTCCACCATTACATGCCAGAAACACACCGGAAGTCGAAGCAGCGGGTAGAAACCGGGGGTTCATCGCCAAAAAAAAAAGAAAAGTTGATTACATCTGCCGGAAAGGTCATGGCGGGTGTGATATGGGATTTTGATTACCTTGATTTTGATAACTGGTGAATGATATTCCATTCTCCTTGATCAACTTAATGCCAAAGGTCGTTAAAAAAAGAGCTGGCTAGAAGAAGAAACGGGTTATTTCCGATAGGACAACGCATTGGCAGTTGTGTTAGAAATGAGAAAACACTGCGGGATTTGAGATATGAATTGCTCCATCAATCCTATCCTGCTGATTTAACACTTTCAGGCTTCCACCTATTCTCATTTGATGAATTGTTTTTTCTGGGAAGCGCTTCGGGTCTACGCAGAAACCAAGAGGATCGTGGAGAGGCTCGGTAGCTCGGTGGCTAGCGCGTCGAGCTAGCAACCCGGGGCTAGCCAGTTAGAATCTCCGCGTCGGAAGTTAATTTCGAGCCATGGATGTTGTGCTGTGTGTTGTCTATATCAAGCATGTGAATGCAATATTATCGATAGTTACACTTCATCACTGCAGCTGGTCTATTATATCAAAAGGGTCAAAAGTAGCCTGGTTGCCAGGCTTCGCCTCCCAACCACTAAACCTCTACTACTCAGAGGGTCGTGAAAAATGCTTTGGCCACCGTCTAGACTCACACTTGATGTTGAAAAAACTTTGGGCCAATTGTGTTTTAACTGAAAATCGCAGTCTTTCATTCCTTTTCACCATGCTGCTTTGAATTAAACTATTCAGCTTTTGCCAAATGTGTAAAGTTGTAAGTGGGCAGTCAACCTGTTTGGTTATATTTTTTATTCTGCAGCTATCCCAAAAGCAAAGCTATGGTAACGCACTAAAAGCAGGTACTCATTTTGGCAGGAATCTCAAATCGTCATCGTAAAATAATGGTGAATGGACATAGCATATGGATTCTCAGATTAAAAACATTCACCATGTTTTGCAATTTAACAAGATATGCCCATAGACATATAATAATAACATTGTGACATTATTGTAGCTCAATCCCGATACTTTAAAGTACCAGACGGGTCTATTGTATCTCATTGATTACACTTAAACAAGGTATCTGTCTTTAGAATATTCTTGCACGGAAAAATATCACTCCAAAGGCAGCGTGATATCTTACAATGATGCAGTCCGTAAAATATCGGGCATTGCTCGGAAATTTCCGCATTTGTCGAATCAATTACAATGCTAGTATACCGATCAAAATATCCGGCAGCGATTTCTTTTCGTTAATATTTTGTGGTACAATATATTTTATAATATCCCCGAAGTAAGCTTAAAGAGATATGCCTGGTTTTCCATTACTTCCGTTATATTTCCGTGAGGGAAAGTTCTGGTAACTTTACAATGTTTTTGCAGGTAGAAAATATATCCCTAATAGTAATTGTATTCACTTCTACAGCTAAGATAAGTTGCAAGGAAGAACACTGTTCTGTATTTCAACATCATGATACAGCAAACAGAAAATCTTGCTCACATTGTAATTACCTAACAAGTAACCTTTATAATAGCATATACGCTTCATGCCACATTAGTATATTGAAAGCTGAAAAGTTTGGTACAAATTGCTTAAAAATTAAAATGGTTTTCCTGAAATTTACAATGTTATTAGATGGATGTATCGATGTGAGAAAACTGTTATTTGTCACTTCCAATATATCTCAATATTTCATATTTTAAGGGTCGTGTTGTTAGTAGTTTCTACAATAAATTGTAGAACGCCTTTATGGCCTACTTGATCTTAATAGTCTTTTCTCTCCTTCAGAAAGGCTGGGGTATTTCTTGATTTCTACCACTCTACTACTTCTACTCCCCTAATAATATTTTTTTGAATAGTACGAAATATCAAGATGATAAATCAGATGGTAAAAATCAAAAGCGTAAGCAGTTTGATGCGAATAGATATTTATTTGTAACATAGCCTCAAAATAGAGCACACTTCTGAATGACAGGAAAAAACCATGAAAATCAATACCGACAATAGTTGTAGGAACGACTAACTATACGGCCCTAAGTGTAAAAATTCCAAGATCAAGTAAGGTTTTTTTCCAATGGAGAAGTCAATAATTACATTTTCAAGAATTGAAGAAGGTATATCAAAACTATCAACTGGTAAAAAGCTGCAGATCTGGTGGACATGTACATAAACCTTTCCCAAAGAAAATCATTTCCAAACGTAAATACTACTACTTAACCGAAATATGATTGATCCCTCAAGAAAATTTGTGAGTCTAATGAAAATCGATTAACACCAATTCTTATTGCATCGTCAAGAATATTACACAGCTGACCTTGCGTAGCATCAAGTCACGAAATGGATTGCGTCCCACAATCCACGCAAGGTTTGAATTAAATAGAAAACACAGATTTTCTCCTTCAAATTGTTATTTTTACTAATCATAAAATACGCAGTATAGGGTTATGTATGGATTAGCTCCCCACACAAATGACCTTTTTCGATTTGCTGACTACACGCACTCTTGTTTTGTCGATATTTTCCATCACTGATCTGCATCTGAACTTCGTTGAGACAGTGTTGAGACTCCCATTTCAATAAACTTGTGTCACTGGGCTCCAGCGGTGTTAAATTACAAGATCCAAAAAGGCAACTGTGATCTCTGAAACGAGAAAGTACACGACCTGGAAATGTACCATGCAGCAAGTGAATTGCTTTACGGGCTGTATGTCATGTGACACCATCATATTTTAACCACACGTTATTTACACCATTACGAGGTCTGTAAATTAACTGATCTTCGATCTGGCAACACTGGAGGCGCCAAGCTTCGAGGGGAGACAGCATAACATATCATCAGCCTTCAGTGCAAGTTTACACTCGCTCAAGTCATTTGGTCGTAGCGGATATAGTTCCTCATTACCTGTACCTCTCTCTGGATATGTCCCATCAATCCTAAACAGAACAAACTTCATAAACTTCCGTTGTACTTTTTCAATAGCTGTGCTATTGAAGGTGACAATATAAAATTCTAATTATATATAAATAGAAAAATTAAAAAAAATCAGTCGCATCTCTTAATTTACAGACCAATCTAGGCAGAAAGAAGTCCACAACTCTGATCACCGAAACGAGAGGGTAGACAACAATGCAGAAATTTCACGAGCTATCCACATCATTACTCATCCATTTACGCAGAAAGAAGCCCACATAAGTGCGTGGATAAAGATTCAACGTCGCATCAGCAAATTTCAGCGACGTTTATGCAAAAAATCCTTGAAAATTTTCTACAAAAGAATACGTATCCGCCAGTAAAGTTGAATAGGCTATTTGCTGATGCCCTTTCTATGCCTATTCTAAACATAATCGCATACTGTGTACTGTATGCCTTACGATCATGAGAAGGAAAACTCTAACGTAACATTTGAATCACGTGGTTTTCAAGGAGAACTCTGTCTTTTATTCAATTCAAATTCAGCGTGTATTTCGAAACACCCTCTAATTCACTCAGTAAGTAAAATCAGACGGTAACGGTATTGGGGCTTCAGAATAATTCCGGTAATTGTACTCGTACTTCTTCAGACTAAAATGCCAATACCCATCGACGGAATGGCGTGTTTCTTTTGAGCTCGGGCATGAAGCAAACTTTGAAATACAATTTCTGTGCAATACAACCACCAAGACTTGTTATGACATGTATCCAAAGTCACCACGAATATGGATTTCCTGAAGTCCGGAATATACATTACACGTTTTGTTTCAGCTCTCTGGGGAAATTTCCATGTATTTGAAAATTAGAAATACTTTTCGCCTGAAAATTGAATACAGGGAATTTTGCCCCATTCATTCCAGTGCTTAACAGGTAAACTGATGGCTGAAATAGAGGTGTTTGTTTTCCGTTTTTGTAACCATGATCAACCACAGACAGCGCTGTTTCGTGCTCACTAGCAACTCATCAGTACAGCACATGTGAATGTCTTAGGTCTAGTTTTGGAGACAAAACGGGAAGTATACGATTGGGTATTGTCCTGTGAAGAACTCAAACGTTGTGTTGGAAAGCACTGGTAGGTGGCGATCCTCAGATTTTCATGTATTATCAAACAAGGTAACCTGACTATTGATGTTTTGAATCAATGGTGGTATTCAGTTTATCTATGTGAATCAGTAGGGCCAATTCCAGAGATTAATAATAGGGTACCTAAAGTGCAACAAAGTTCATTGTATATATCTGTGGTCGAGACAAAATAGTCTTAATAATAATGATAATAAGCCTTTATTGTCCAAAAGCTTATCGACAGCAATAACATAGCAGTTTATAGAAATAAAAGTTAGCTTAGAGGTATTTCCATACAAATAAAGCATATACCTATATGATTATATACAAAATGGTAAGTTTTAACTTAGATAAGGCGATTTATTCCGTATATCGTTAAAACTGCAACAAAATATGTCACACCCTAGTCTGTGCTTTTTAACATAAAAATATAGCACTAGCTAGTGAAGCTAATCGTGGCACGAGAAATTGGAGACAGTCTACTCGCCCATGCAACAATTTGTATAAAATGAGTACAGAAATTGATTCAGCTGCTGATCTAAAGATTAAAAATCAAACCTTTGTAGAAGCCCGCTATAATCTGAACCTCACCAGTTTTGGAACTCAGAAACTTCAAAAATTTCTTCCGAATTTCATCGATAGCATCAACATATTGTTTATAAGTTTATAAATGAGAGATCCATCATCAAGTTTTGACCTTATTAGGCTGAAAAGTCAAAATCTCAATGTACAGATATTGTGATAGTTCCTACAGCTCCTTATTATAAAGCCACATATCGACGATCTTAAATCAATAATGTTGTATGGCATAAAGGAATCAAAACAAAACAGAAAATCGGCATTTTCCGACTTACGAGGTTGATTTGAGATCTTCGATATTTTGAATGCAGTGGAAATAATTTGGTTAATATGATCATTGACCGTGCGTTGTCGGTCAAAGTAGATACCTAAGTCTCTCACAGTCTCACAACGCTCCAATACACAATTCTCCATTGTGTAGTTGTACCATTCAGGATTAGTCTTCCCAGAAAAAGTGGTTACCTTGCATTTGGAAATATTAGAAAAAAGGTTATTGTTTTCACTACCATTTTAGTAGAAAATCGATTTGTTGTTCTAGCACAACGCAATCCTCTATCGAGGAAATAGTAAAGAAAAAGTTTAAATCATCAGCAAACATCAATTAAAGACATTCCAGTCACATAAATGATTGATGAATGAGCAGTGATGGTCCTAAGTTAGGGCCTTGAGGAACTCCGCTGGTAGAAACATGCGAATAGTATCCCATGGTAAAAAACATAGTGCTTTCTTGCAGAGGTAGGAAATCAAAATTGCAATATATACTAAGTGACATATAAATCCGAACACCCAGTTTAAATGGTTTTATTTTAATAAAATTTTGTATAAGTACTTAATGAAGCAGAATAAGTAAATGATAAAAATTTCAAAATGATTGCACTGCTTTAAAGCCCTTTGACCTTTAATAATGTGTGGATGCACCCTGATGTGCTAAGCATTCTCCAACGCGCCTAGGCATGCTTCTGATCAGGTGGTCAATGTCCTCCTGTGGTATCTCATTCCAGGCAACCACCAACTCCTCTCGAAGTGCTTCTAGAGTCTGAGGAGGACGTTGCAAATTGAGCAATATCCTAACCATCATATCCCACACGTGCTCAATTGGGGATAAGTCGGGAGATCTTGGTGGCCATGGTAACAATGTGACATCATTATGTTGAAAGAAGTCTATTGTGACTCTTGCAACATGTGGTCGGGCATTATCTTGTTGGAAAGTTGGATCTGCCAGGGTGTCAAGATAGGGTAAAAGATGGGGTTCTAGAACTTCGTGGATATAACGCTGCGCGTTCATGTTACCTCTGATGAAGATTAAAGGTGACCTGGAACCATAAGCTATAGCACCCCAAACCATAACTCCAACAGTGTGATGAACATGTCTTTCAACAAAAAACTGTGGATTCCTCCTTTCACCACGTCGCCTTCTAACCCTTACACCGACGTAATCGCCTTGAGTGGTGCAGACAACGGTCACTCTGGGATCAGGAATGGAACAGTATTGTCTTTAGTGTCGAGTCTCGATTTTGTATAGGCATGCACGATGGTCGTACCAGGGTTAGAAGGCGACGTGGTGAAAGGAGGAATCCACAGTTTTTTGTTGAAAGACATGTTCATCACACTGTTGGAGTTATGGTTTGGGGTGCTATAGCTTATGGTTCCAGGTCACCTTTAATCTTCATCAGAGGTAACATTAACGCACAGCGTTATATCCACGAAGTTCTAGAACCCCATCTTTTACCCTATCTTGACACCCTGGCAGATCCAACTTTCCAACAAGATAATGCTCGACCACATGTTGCAAGAGTCACAATAGACTTCTTTCAACATAATGATGTCACATTGTTACCATGGCCACCAAGATCTCCCGACTTATCCCCAATTGAGCACGTGTGGGATATGATGGGTAGGAGGTTGCTCAATTTGCAACGTCCTCCTCAGACTCTAGAAGCACTTCAAGAGGAGTTGGTGGTTGCCTGGAATGAGATACCACAGGAGGACATTGACCACCTGATCAGAAGCATGCCTAGGCGCGTTGGAGAATACGTAGCACATCAGGGTGCATCCACACATTATTAAAGGTCAAAGGCCTTTAAAGCAGTGCAATCGTTTTAAAATTTTTGTCATTTACTTATTAAGTACTTATACAAAATTTTATTAAAATAAAACCATCTAAACTGGGTGTTCGGATTTATATGTCACTTAGTATAGTTAGTTTTATAGATGTTTCAATTCTTATGATTTTTTAGCAGTCATTCTATATTGTTCTTTTGTGGCGCGGATGGGTTTGAATTTGTTTCTAACAGTCGATCCCGAAAGTTCGTTGGCAGCTAACCGGTTTGGTCGGGCCCACGGATTGGAGGAGTTGCTGGTTCGAATCCCACCAGCGCCCATTTTTCGTTTCTCTCAAGTTATTATTTATTAAACGGAAGGACATATTAAGAAGTAGTCATTTCCATGTGATCACGAGCTCTTGCACCGCATCTGTAACCTTTTAATAATTGCGTTTAGCCACCACCTGAATCAAATCGTTAAATTCCCAACCATTATACGGAGCCCTGTGAATCAACACAGTTTGTACATACTAAATGAATTGAATTGTATCTCGGACCCATTAAATATTTATTATACCGTGATTAAATTGATGTTATCAGTTTATTTTGGTGACATGCAAATAGAGTATATCGCATAGGCCAAGTGTATATCATTACTAAACTATGACATCTACATATGGTTTTCATTTGTTCATTAATGTATTTAAAACGCCATGGATGCATAAAGAAGCTGAGACACAATGTTTTGCAAAGAATAGGGCTAACAATGTTGTGAGAGGTTTTCCTGTATTGATATGAATTATGGGAAACCTTGTACATAATTTTGTTAAGCTAGGCTAGGCGTGTCATAGATATAAACAGCTGTAATTACATATTTTTATTTCCAGTTACAAGAGGGTTCGCATTTCAGTTCCCTTGTACGACCTAGTTGGATGAGGGATTAATTTAGATCGGTGTCATGCTGTACGGGTTGCCGACCTAGTACCTATGGCGACATAACTACGTTTTTGTTTATTTGGCGCGAGACAGCTATAGTGGATACGAAATAAAATCCGATGCACGTCATAGGTGATGGCATTCATAAAAATCATGGTTACCAACAGTTGACTACATTCAATGTGACATTTCTACTTGAAGTTTAAATTTCCCCGTCTCGATTCGGTTGGTAGTGCCGTGCAGAGAAATGTGAGGTTGCCACTTCTCATTTGTAGACATCAGTTGCCATTGTCCTTTTGTCGTACTATTAGTTCTTTATTGTTTAGTTTGTGAGTTTTGGGCTTTGAATCGTTGCCTTGCCAATTAAAAATTGTTCTTTTCAGAACAACAGTTACTGTGAAGTGGTGTAAAGTATCCAAACTGCCAAAACAACTTAACAGTGGTGTAAAGAGCTCATATCATTCAATATCTACCAAAATCAGGTGTTTTTATTCAGAAAGGAATTTAATTTTTCAACAAGTTTATTTATTTTTAATATAATGGTATTATAGTAAATGGTAGGTATATATAAACAATTTATTTTATTAAATTTATTTGCTTAAAAGAAAATGTGCAAATTCTGGCAACAGCGCACAGCTCCAGATCGATGCTGTGCATCGGATTTTATTTGGTATCCACTATAGGATAGCTATATTAAGAGACAAGCTAAAATCGTCAGGTCTAATATCAAAAGCAACATTCAATTCAAGTTTATGGCGGAATGGTGTTCCAGTGGGTCAAGCAAAACATGGAGCGTTGTTCGCTGTTTTCAATTATATAAAGAAAAAATCAATCCCTACCTTCCTTCCTCCAACATTACCAATTGAACCCACTTCATTTGGAAAATATGAAAGAATACTTTTTTGATCTTTGCCCTTGTCCTATTTAATCTACCTACAGCGATGTTTGCTTTGTGGTACTCATACAATATTTGTTAGAATTTTCGTTTCAAACGTTATTTTAACATCTAGTATTTATTCCGAGAAATTTGGCATACTGAGATAATCAACGAGGTATTAATAACCAACTTTGAAGTTCAACTGACGGAAGAAGCCGTAATTTTGTTTTAAAGATGTTATTACAATACACGAAAGCTGGCAATTTATTGTACTTATGTATTCACCATGCTGTAACTATATACGGCTGCCGACGACTTGGTCTCGGTTATTTTTAGACAAATAAGCTGCAACTTCATCCCTGGACATGCATACCTCCGAGATTTATAACCCACATTTCAAATATTATTACGTACATAACGTCTTTTTGGCATTCCATGGACAGACCAGTAAGATAAAGATTTTAAGTAAAAGAACGCAAAATAAAAAGACTTGGCAAGAGGATTTTGCAAAACTGAAAGTCATTTCCCATTACTACAGATCAAATCACCATATTTTTTTAGATTTTGACGTATTGGTCAGCTCAGCCGTTACAGGCTAAGCAACTGACGAACATTTTATCAGGTGTTAGCAATCTCATTTAAGTAAGGAACCACATACTAATAGAAAAACTTGTTTCAGATATGGATGCAAACTCCATCAGTTGAAATAAAACCTATCGTATTCAAAAGGTGAGTGATTAGTTTTCAAGTTTTTGATAGAAGCAGTTTAATTTGTTCATACAAAATAATTATCCCCGATTCAGAAGGCCTAGCTTTCAATGCTTTATTACTCTGTTGCAGTGGCGGCTCGTAGCAAAATAAAACAGGTGTTCTGCAAATCCGAACTTACCTATTTTTTATATGTCAGTTCGATTCTGCGCTCCTTCTTGGCAGCAAATTTGTCGATCTCCTTTCCGTTGAAATTTGTGGTCGAAATAAATTCCTTTCCAACGGACAGCATCGACACCGCTGTAAGACGATCCTGGGTCATAGTATTTCGAAGAAAGGTCTTGATTCTTTTCAATGTTGAGAAATTTCGCTCAGCCTCTGATGTTGACATAGTAGGAGTTGTAACAATAATTTTTAATAATTTTAATAACTTTTAATAGCTTTTTTGTTTCTTTTAGTGTTTCCTCCAAGCTATTTTGTATAAAAATTTCTAAAGAGGCAGAGTTCCATGTAAATCTCGGCAATCATTCCGTGCATAAATGACAGACAACTCTGTCTTTAAACGACTTTTTTCTAATTCGGGATAAGCCAAGCAAGTAGTTTCCAACTTGTCATCACAGTATTCTCCAAAGTGTTCGGGGAAAAAATGGATGCGGCTACCAAATGATCTTTGAATTGAAATCTGTCATTTGCAGAATTCACTATATTGTCGCATACTTCTAATGCGGCAACTCGGTGATCGTGGCTGCTATTATTACGTCGTCTCCTTTTGTTGCCTTGGGGTTCAGTGCAAATACCTTTGGCTTCATTTATTATGTCATCAGTTTTATTTCTCACATCGACAACACATTTTTCAAAATTATCGATAGCCGTTTTAACTTGCGCTGGCTCGGTTTTTCTCTTCAGTACCTCTACGCGTTGAGGATAATTATTAAAAAATCCCGGAATATCTTTCAAATCCCCAAAGAACACCCGAACTTGAGCATTTGCGGAAGCAGCTTGGGACATAATCAAGTTTAACTGACGCGCATAGCAATGCACATAGTGAGCAAATGGATATCTTTGTTTAATTTTTGCCTGTACTCCAGCATTATGTCCGCTCATTACCGCAGCTCCATCATAGCTTTGTGAAATCAGTTTGTTAGGGAAATTTCCTATTAATGAATCTACGACGCTCAAAATACAGGGTGCGGCAGAGAGGATGGACGGTTTTAAAAAAATCATAACATAGTTCATTTTTACTTGAAAACAAATTTATTGATGGAATCAGGTTCACAAGAAAATAGCATTTGAGACAGTCAAGTGTGGAAACTCACATCAGGCATGTGGTGGCCGAAATCGTTGATGCAGTGTTGGAGGCGTTCTTGGAAGACTCTCTCCAACATCGCTCTCTCAACTTGGGGGGCGACTTCCACGCGAATTTCGCCCTTCAATTTGTCCAGAGTTCGGGGCTTGTGGCTTGTGAAAGTGGGCTTGGTCACTCATAAACAAAATGAGGTTCTCATTTTGATCGATCAGTGCATCCATCTCACGTGCGAAGTTCATTCGTTATGAATAATCTCCAGGCTGTAACTGTTGCACAATGGTCAATTCATAGGGGTGAAGGCGGAGATCCATATGCCAAATTCGCATTACCGAACGATCACTAAGGCGAAGTGCAGAAGCATGTTTCCGGGAAGATCGAGTCGGACTGCGAAGAAAGACCTGTCGATCGCGATCAACATTTTCAGGACTTCGAACTGTTCGCGGCGCTCCTCTTGGTCTTCTGTTGATCAGTTCACCACGCCTGCGAAGTGATTCAACCCAACGAAGGATGGTGTTTCGAGAGGGGACAGCTCTATTCCGATGAATGTTGAAGTGGCGACGATGACTGACTCATTATTTCGGACGAAACAATCATAGGCGAAAACGCGGTGCTCCACCGTCCAAGGCTCCATAACGACAACTGGTAAAATAATGCTAGGATCTCACGAGTCAAACGGCACCCTCCCCACCTCTCTCGTAGACGGAGGCGGAGAGTACTACCCATCCCAAAAACGTCCGTCGTCTCTGCCGCACCCTGTATGTCTTGTGAGAGTATCAGCGTCACATTTTTCGAGATTCATATAATTCCAAAAACGTTCCACTGGTTCGCCGTTAAATACGTATCTGAAAATTGTTACCAGTTCTGTTTTCCCCGAAATGTCCGTTGTTTCATATGCTATTATCGCCAAATACAAGGCTCTGTTAATCTGTTTTATTATTTATTAATTTGTATTTCTTTCGAAATTCCTTTAAATATTGAAGCATTTTCTATGTGTTCGCTTAAGGTTATATCAAGCTCAGCAGAAAAATTAATCAGTCCACGAAATATTCCCGGGTTTTGGTAGCTCTCGGTTTCGTCGTGGCACCGTAGCGCCAATTGAGATGCTCCGCAAAATTTTATACAATCGACTATTTTTGATAGAACGTACCTGTTTTTTGTAACGGTATCATTATGCTGGTGTATATTTCTCCAATATGCTGAATCTGACTGAGCTCCAATAAAGCCAATTGCATCGAAGTATGAAGATGTGTTTTAGAGTTTTCATGCTTCTTAATTTTTTCACTCAGGTGCACTAAATCTGTAACACCTACCTCCGTCCAAGGTTTGTCACCGCCGAAAAGTATGCAAGGAAAGCAGAAAAGGGCATTCTTCCTGTTGCATCCACAAATCCAGTCCTTTCTGGTGTAAATCTCCCTGCTGAAATGCCGCGTATAGCCCTTGCCCCGACTAACGCCCTGTGTTTCTATAAATATGTCCGGCAGCGGTCAAACTAACACCTTCAGCTCAATTTTTTCTTCAAATGTGTATTTCCAGAATCGTTTCACGCTGATAAGTATATAAACCACATCCATTGTCTTGCACTAACCTTCTACACAGCCACAGTCAGTCAGTGAGTCACTAGTCACTCAACGTAAGACCCAAAATACCTAAATAAAACATTTTTCGGATTCAAATTTTAAGCCACGTCACGCGACAAGACCAATATGCCAATACCGCTGAGGACCGAGCACCGACCGACCAATCAGATATCGTACTTCGCATTAGATGTGTACGGATCTGTATAACTTGCAGCACATGCTTATGCTTGAATCGCGCATTTGATTTTGTAGAGAGAGACAAAAACAAGCGCGTGCGGCTTGTGTCGAAGTAGTGTACAGAACCTTTCCAAGTGGCCCATGAATAATGTTACGCTGCGGTCGCGACGAAAATGACAAGTACACAATTGGTCGATTATAATGTTTTCTTAGTACAAAGCAGACTCGACGCCGTGTCTTGCGGGGGCAGCCTTGCCGGTATTGATTCTATTTGTGTGATAACATGGAAAATAAATTACTACTGCTTTTTTCTGTTAAGACAAAAGTTTTGGCACTTCTGCAGCTCTGCAGAACTTAAGGGCCAGCCGCCCCTGTCTGTTGACTCTTTATAACTCCCGTTAAAGGTGGTATCGTGTAAGAATATGAAGAAGATTTTTGGGAATACTAAATGCCGGTTCAAAGCTTTGAAATCATTTTCCTCTACTTTTTCTCCATACCGCATGAACTTCAATATCTACCGCATTTATTTAGGATCAGCTGAAAAAAAAGCATCAAGTAGTTTCACTCTGTGGTGTTTCTGCGCAACTCTGTAATCACCTATATTATGTTTGCTTTATTTATTTGACTAAACTACAACTAAAGCAGACTACACAGTCCAGCAAGTTCGCAAGCACACAAGGCCGCGACTCGCACTGTGAACAAAATTAAATCGTGCGACTTTAGGTCCAACCAAAATTATAATTTTTCTTCAACAACCAATTCCAAAATTAATTTTGGGATCAATTTAAAATTGCCGAATACTAACTAGCAATGCCAAGGCACCCCTCAAATTTATGCACTTCTTTTTTCTTTGCTCTCCCTCCTTCCTTCCTTCCTTCCTTTCTTCTTCCCTTCTTTCTCCCTGACTTTGTTTGGTATCTGGGCAACCAGACCTGACAGACCTACTGACTTACAAGACTTCAACTAAGAGCAAAGGTCCTACGGACCGCTCTGACAGACAATGACGAATAGTACTACAACTAAAGCAATGTCATGTGAGATATAGAATCGAACTACTTTGAACAGATTTCTAACAGACTAGATTTCCATGATTTTTTATGTTCATCTTCAACGTGGAATAACCTGTTGCTGCAGCAGATGCTAAAGCCGAACAAATTAAACGCTCTTAAAAAAAAGTTAACTACAACAGAAGAGAATTGGGTGGCTTTACTTTAAAGACTCTAATAGAATCCAAATTTGATCAGGTAAACGCTTATGTGAAAATTCGTTTTGATTGAAATGTTGTTTGCACTTCCTGCTTCAATGGCAAAGGTTTGGAAAATATGAATTATTACTCTATTCAGCATATATATACAATATTACGGAGATCAGAAAATTCTATTGAGGATCTATTTCAGCGCTACTAATAATGCAACATTTACAGCACCCAACTTTCAACTAATTTTTTTTTTGACGAGGAGATCTGGAAACTAAAATAGCATAGTTTGAGCGACCCTCCAGTTTCTTCATGCCTTTCCTGTAGCTCCGATGCCATTAAGTCGACTTTCAAAACCTATAGGGTTTTTTGTTCTTGACAGGTCAAAGTTTCGTCAAAATTTTAGCGGTCCTCTCTAACGGATAGATAGACATACCGACGGATATTTGTGATGTGCATGCCACAAAGCATCCAAAAACAAAATATCTTACTTTCAGAATATCTCGCGATTGCAATATCTTACCAATTGGCCAGGAAAGTAAGAAACAAATTCCCAAAATCATTTAACTAGGTCAAAGAAACCCTTTTTTGGGGTTCTGATTAATTATAACGAGTTATATCAAGTCATGGTATTAGGTAACGCAATAAGAGCTAATGGAAAAGGAAACCGATTCATAAAATATTCAATGTCAATAATTCCGGCGGAAACTCCTCAAGATTCCCCAAACGTTTCGAATATTAAATCACTCTGTCAACTGTAGAGCAGTCGAAGCGCGGGCAATTCCGGGATGAAAAGTGCCAGGAATTCCGAACAAATGCTCTGGTAAAATGCTTCCTTACCGAATTTAAATGCTAATCACGTGCTTCATTCACCAACCTAAATCTGTTAGTATACATCTTAAGACCATATTTCCATGCTCGCTAAAATTGGCTATAATTAAAAATAAATGTCTGTTGTTACTTTACGTAATTAAGGGAGAAAGGCTGAATGGCAACAGTAACCCTTATACTAATCAGTCTCCCAGTTAACGTCTTCACTTCTCACGAAAACGCATAATTATTGTAATTGCGAAATATTTCGATAATGAGATATTATAGTTCATAGATATTATACATATGACACCGCAAAAAATTATGTAACTTGTTTTCGTCTGTCTGTCTATCTGTCTGTGTGTCAGTCTTATAATCGCCTATAACTTGAGAAGTACCGCTCAGATTTCAATGAAAAAAAGGCCTAAAATGAAAAAAATAAAAAATTCACAAACTTCGTTTTTTGACGTTCCAGAGAATCCTGATCATTTTTGAAAAAAAACTTGGGGGTGGCGTTGTTAGGAGGTGTGAAGGGTTTATCTCAATTTTTAAATGCTGGTACACTTATACGCTCCCAATATTGGCAATTCTATCCACTTATTAGACAAATTTCTCATATCATAGGTTTCTCTGTACATTAAGGGCCGCATCGTCAATCATTTCTACAATTGTAGGACGCCTTGATGGCCTTCTTGATTTTCATAGTGTTTTCTCTCCTTTAGAAATGCTGGGGTACCACTAAGTTTAAGCTGTGCCATATCAGCGTCAGTGGTCTTCTATTGTGAAGCTATGATTTCTTTTTTAATTGTACGAAATTTTAGGCTTATATAACAGATGACATGTTACATCAAAAGCAAAATCAATTTGAAGCAAATAGATATTTGTAAGATAACCTAGAAATAGAGCGCTGACACGGAACATTAGAACACTTTGAAAATCAAGGAGGCCATACAGGCGCCCTCCATTTCTATGCCCTAAGGGCCGTATCGTGAGTCGCTCCCACAATTGTAGGGCGCCTTTATGGCCTCCTTGATTTTCATACTCTTTCCTCTCCTTCAGAAAGGCTGGGATATTTCTAGATTCCTACTGTTCCGTGTCAGCATCAGTGCTCCACTATTGTCAGGCTATGTTTTCTTCTTGAATTGTAGGGTATTTCAAGATAAATAACAGTTTGAGACAAATAGATATTTGTAACATAACCTCAAAAGGCGTCCTACAATTATTGCAGGAACGACGATACGGCCCCTAGTCTCTCAGGAGACCGATCGAGTACCTATCTCACACGTATTTCTGTGATAACATACACAGGATGTTTGTAAGGTCGATACAAAGTCTCGGGGAGGAGATAGGGCAGACCATTTAGAGTCTTTTAAGCCAAAAATACCTCAGTACAAAGTCTTACGGCTTTCCAGGTATTCTTATTTTAAAATTTAAATCATAAATTAGTAAACGAAACAAAAACTATTGAAACATGATTTAATGGTGTTCAATGTGAGAACCATTATTTCTAATACATGCTCGGGCTCTACGTGTTACTTCGGTAGTTGTTGTAATTAGTAACATGTCCTGTTGCATTAAATAAAAAGCTTCTCGGATTTTTCTTATTAAATGATCTCTTGATACGATTTGTTCAGTCTAAACTAACTGTTTAGCCCGCCCTAAGACATAGAAATCCAATGGTGTCCGGGGATCTAGCAGGCAACCTCTGCCTAGCCAGCAATTTTAAAAGTATCGTCCAAATATAGTCTTACGTCTAAACGGAAATGAGCTGGACATCCGTCGCGTTGGGAAACAATTTGCATGTCACCTGGAATTTCTACTCCTACAAGTAATTCGGAAAGATCATTTTGCAAAAAGTGCAGATAACTGTCTCCGTTTAATCTTTCAGGCAAAAAATGAGGACCGATTAGTCTTTGTCCCATGAGGCGGCCCATACATTAACGGAAAATTTGAGCTGGAAAGACACCTGCTTTTTTCAGTGTGGATTTTCCTGCTTAGCCCATTGATTCAAATTGTGAAAATGTTTAATGCTCTTCTCTGAAAAATTGGATTCGTCCGTCCATAGAATGCTTTTCAGGAACCATTCATTCTCAATGTCAGTATGTAAGAGAAAACGATAAAATTGGCTTCTGTAAATAGGATCACCTTCTTCAAGTCCTTGTCCGCCGATACTATGAAAAGGATATGATATATTCATTCACGGTACACAGTACTCCAAACCTTCCATGGCTACAAACCAAGATCAGCAGCAACCTTCCTAGTACTTGTAATGGGATCATCTTGAAACGCTTGGAGGATTATATCTTCGGCTTCAGGAGGATATCGACCTGGATTAACACCAGATTCATTACGTGTTACACTTCCAGTCTCGTAAAGACGTCGGTAAGTATTGTAAAGCACTCTGACATTAGGAAATCTTCTCCCAGGAAATCGCTCATGGTACAACCGTCGTGCTTCTAGTCCATTGCCATCA